TCAATGCTGCTGGTCCAGGAGTCACATGGGACTAGAGATGGGCTGCTGATCCAGGCAGGGCAGGATCAGCAGAGGGCAGGGGTGGAAGGTTAGGAGACTACTGTCATAGTCTAGTGGAAAGGAGATAAGGGCCTCTTAAGGTGGTGGCAGCGGGGATGGAGAAGGGATGGAGAGGAGAGACGCTAAGGAGCAGCTTTAATAGATTGATTAGCTATAGAGGGAACAGAAACATCAGAAGAGTCTCTGGCTTATGGTGCAAGACGGATGGTGGTGCTGTTGGTCAATCAGAAAGAGGGATTGAGGAGGGAGAGGCTCTATGAAGCAGGAAAAATGCTCAAGTTCTGTGGCAAATGCGGTTAGACAACCAGGCGGGAATAACTAGCCCTGAGTTGGGAGTATGTTCTAGAGGCCAGGAGGAGGTTCTAGAAGCATGCTGTGTCCAGGTCATGGTTGGAGAGGACAGGCTAATGCAAGATTTGAGAGCAAATTCAGAATGGGATGGGTCAGATAACCTCAAAGCTCCTTTCCAACCCTTTAACTCCAGCAACAAGCTACAAGGCAATGCAGTTGTCACCTCGGGCATCTTCCTTCCTTAGAGATGGCGTGACTGAGGATGTGTTTGCATTCTGTCTGTCACTGTCTCTCTCTCCAATTGTTCTGCAGGAGCCATCGTGGCTGTGTATGTCATCTGCTGGCTGCCATACCACGCCCGCAGGCTCATGTACTGCTATGTCTCCGATGACGGGTGGACCGAGTAAGTGTGGGCGACGAGCCAGAACACTGGGAGGGGGCCCATTGGCTTGGGCTCATGGTCTCCATTGCTCTCCAGAGGGACCCTCAGTTGCTGGGCTCCCTGGAGCTCTGGCCTGCATTCCAGCTGGTCCTGCCCAGTCTGTGCCCTCAACATCTCCCAGCTGGAGGTGGGGAACAGGGCATTCTCTAGAAACCTCTGACCTGGTAAGGCTGTGTGCATGAGCGGCCTTGTTGGTAGCAGTCAGGGCGATGGGTATCCTGACTACAGGATGCAGAGAAGCCTACAGGCTAGGGAGGAAGGCAGAGGCCATGTTAGTACAAAGAGAGAGGGAGGACTCAGCTGTGATTCCATGAGCTTAGACAGAGACCAGAACATGCAGCCCTTCTATGACACAGTTGGAGGAGAGAATTCATCTTCGTTTTGGAAATCACTATGCCCCTGATCATAAGTGAAAGTCAAACATACAAAAGAATAGAGATCCCATGTAGGCTCTGAGGAAATAGCTGGGTTACTGATGATTTTTTCTCGGGAGCTACCAGAACCCCTCACACACACACGTGTGTACACACGTGCACATGCCATGCCCTTCCCACTGCAGGGAAACTCTGCAACAAGGAGCACAGCTTCCCAGAAAGACTTTCCCCTCTTAGTGAAGTCACATCTTCTTGGCCACACCCAGCAGCATGGGGCTCCCAGCTGGGCTGGATAGTCAGCCCCCATCCATCAACGGGGGTCCCCTTCACCCTGTAGTTTTCACCTGACTCGAAACTGCAGCCAGGAGGGCAAATCACTGAGGGGGGGTGGAATGCATCAGCCAGGGGCAGCTGGTGGAGAAGGGGCATTTGCTGAGTTCACGTTACGCTTCCTGGCAGCAGGAAACAGGCTTCCTCCCCTGGCCCCATGGAGGAGACAGGTGGGCTCCAGCAGGAAGGGGTGGGCACTGGGAACAGGCGACAGGTCCTCTCACCAGGCTCGGGGTTTCTCTCCCAGCACACTCTACGATTTCTACCACTACTTCTACATGGTGACCAACACACTCTTCTACGTCAGCTCAGCAGTGACACCTGTCCTCTACAGCGCCCTGTCCTCCTCCTTCAGGAAACTCTTCCTGGAAGCCCTCAGCTCCCTGTGTCGACAGCAGACCCCCATGGAGCCCATACCCCTGGACGCCCTGGAGGCCCACCCTCCTGGGTCCAGCTTGAGGCTCTGGGGATCCCCCAGAAACTCCAACCTGGATGACATACAAGAATGAACAGAACAAACAGAATGACTGCTCGGTCACCAGGCATATCGGCCATGCATGTTATCACTAGTCATTCTAGCTTCACGGTCGGGTGGGCTCCCGTGGACACCCGGCTCTGTCCCTTGCAGCTGTGTAACTGCAGGCAAGTCACGTAACACCGCTTAGCCTCAGTTTCCTCGTCTAGATAACGGAGATAAAGAAGAGCGCCCGTGTTGTCTGAGACGAACGTGCTTAGTGCAGTGCCTGGTGCATAATCCATAGTCAATAAATGTCCGCTGGACTCTTTGCAGTTACTGTCACTACATTGCTATTGTTGCTGTTTTCCTGCCATCCTGGAAGCCCACCGCATTCTCCTCTAGTTTTATACTCATGGGTTGTACACTCGGGTGTCCGACAAATTTCCTCAAATGACAAATCAGCAGTGCCCCAGCAGCTGGCTGAATTGTTCCATCGCACGAGCTGTGAAGTTCCTCAGTCTCTCCCGGGGAGGCAGCGGCTGTTCACACTGATGGCAGCTCCCTGTGGGCTCTGGAAGGCCAGCGGGCACGGTGGGGTCTGGAAGGCCAGTGGGCACAGTGGGGTCTGGAAGGCCAGTGGGCATGGCGGGCTCTGGAAGGCCAGTGGGCACGGTGGGGTCTGGAAGGCCAGTGGGCACGGGGGGGTCTGGAAGGCCAGTGGGCATGG